CAGAGTGTCTTGGCTTTCCATGCCTGAAATACTCTCATGGGCATTTCAGCCGGATCTGCATGCCTTAAGGGCTGATTCTGAAGCCAGAGTGCTGTTTAGGACATCTGCCATTCTATGGGTCTGCTGTGTATCTCACTTCCCATGTTTGATCATTCTCTCCCTTTTTGATTCTATCAGCTAGTATTTGCAGACACTATTCTTGTTTATGTGATCCCTTTGGTTCTTAGTCCTATCATTATGATCAATTGTGAACAGAAATTGATCACTGGGACTAGTGAGATGGCATTGGTACATGCCACCTTGATGGGATTGAATTGGAATCCCCTGGTATGTTGCTAACTCTACCGTTTGAGGTAAGTCAGCTTGAGCATGTCCCGAATTGCACATCTCTTCCCTCTCTTATTCCCACTCTTATATTTAACAGTGATCACTTTTCAGTTAACTTTTAAAGTATAAATGTCATCAACAGTAACACTTTACATTTTTCAACATGTTCAACATGAGTGAAGAAAATCAATGTTCAACATGAGTGAATAAAATGTTATATATTACTCAATATATCTATAAAATATGTTGAAAATACTGGATTACTAGAAAACAGAACAGCAATGAAAGAACATAAAGCAATAAAATTTTAAGTTAACCATTTTATAGGGTTGTTTTTATTTCTCAAGTTTTTAACAATCATAGATTAAGTATCTTATACTTTAGCAGATGAGGGAGAGATGAAAATGTCAAAAAATATGTTATGTGTTTTCCCTCAGCTAATTTCAGATTTAGGCATAAGGATTAGAGTGGCTTCTCACATGAAGCAAATTGTCTAATGACAATGATGTGTCATATTATTTGAAATAAAGCAGGCTGTGCTCTATTTGTAGGGTTATTCTTATTTAAATATTATTTTTATCATTTCCTGTTGCACACATACATTATTATTTAATGTGCAATTTATATGAGAATAAACGCTAACTTTTGAATAATGTAACAGTGGAATTCTAGTATTTTAAGCAAAACTCTTCCTTTTTCTATGTATTTGAAATGCACAGTTACAGAGGGAGACAGAAGTGAAGAAAGAGGGAGAGAGAGAGAGAGAGAGAGAGAGAGAGAGAGAGAGAGAGAAATATCTTTCATCTGCTGGTTCACTTCCCAAATGCCCTGTCCCGCGAGATGTCAACTAGGGTCGAGCACCTAGAAGGAGAAATGAAGGGACAGGAGATACAAAAATGGCAGTGAGACAAGGGTCCTGATCAAGCTGCAAATTTTATTTTTCAACCACACACTTATATATCATAAAGGCAGAGTGTCAGGCGGGGAAGGAGTGGCGTTTAGGAGGGCAGGATGTCATGTTGGGGAAGGAGGGGGAACTTATCTTGTAGTTGCAATGCTTGTGCAAGTAGGGGAAAGGTTACAAGGTCTTAAGGCACAAGGTCACACAAGGTTGCGCTATCAGTACTCTCCGGCCTGGGCTGTCTAGCCCTGCCTCCGTAGTTTTCCACTAAGAGGCCACATGCTGCGTGGTCCCTGACACCCAAATGTCCACAACAGCCTGGGATGGGCCAGGCTGAAGCCAGTCTTTTCTGGTCTCCCACATAGATGCAGGTGCCCAAGTACTTGAGCCCTCTTCCACTACCTTACCAGGTGCATTAGAAGGGAGCTGGATCGAAAGTGAAGCAGCCTGGTCTTGGACCAGCATCCACAGGGATGCCGGTGCCACAGGCAGCGGCTTAACCCACAACACAGATCTGCTTCAGCAATACTGACTAGAGATGCTAAGCCTCTCAATGTTTGTTTTCCTTTCCTATTGTAAAGAACAGTTGTCACTTTTCTGGATTAACTTTTTTATTTTGTCCATAGGACAGAAGAAAATCAGACTGCTGGAGTCACCTTCATCCTCGTGGGCTTCTCAGAATACCCAGACCTCCAGGTGCCCCTGTTCCTCGTGTTCCTGACCATCTACACAGTCACTGTCCTGGGAAACCTGGGCATGATTTTGATCATCAGGATCAACCCCAAACTCCACACCCCTATGTACTTTTTCCTTAGCCACTTGTCCTTTGTGGATTTATGTTATTCTACATTAGTTTCACCAAAACTATTAGAAAACTTGGTTGTGGAAGACAGAACCATCTCCTTTGCAGGATGCCTCCTACAATTCTCTTTTGCATGCATATTTGTGATTACAGAAACGTTCATGTTGGCAGCCATGGCCTACGACCGCTTTGTGGCAGTTTCTAATCCGTTACTTTACACTGTTGTGATGTCTCAGAAACTTTGTTACTTGTTGGTGGCTGCGTCATACTCTTGGAGTATAGTGTGTTGTATAACATTTACGTCATCTTTGTTGACCTTATCCTTTTGTGGGATTAAGCTTATAAATAACTTTGTCTGTGAATACGCTGCCATTGTTGCAGCATCCTGTTCTGATGCCTCCATTAGTCAGATGATCATTTTAGTTGGTGCCACGTTCAATGAAGTAAGCAGCCTGATGATAATTCTTACTACTTACATCTTCATTTTTATCACAGTCCTGAAGATGCCTTCCACTGGAGGGCGCCACAAAGCCTTCTCCACATGTGCCTCCCACCTGACAGCCATTACCATTTTCCATGGGGCCATCCTTTTACTCTACTGTATTCCTAATTCCAAAAATTCATGGCTGATTCTCAAGGTAGGCTCTGTCTTTTATACGGTAGTCATTCCCATGCTTAACCCACTGATCTACAGCCTCAGAAACAAAGATGTGAAGGAGACTGTGAGTAAGTTAATCAACAACAAATTGTTACATCATAAAATATAATAAAATGACTATTAATTTTTGTGGGTACCAATGTAGTTGCTCAATAACAAATTTGTACAGAATCTATAATAATCTTCTAACCTAATATCTATGCATTAAGTGTAATACTTTGTAAGTTAAATTTAAAATAAAAATATTATCATAGATGAAATATCAGACCACATAACTAAATATGTAACTCATATTTTGTAATACAAAAGTTAAATAGATTTCTATATTTTGTCATGTGATTGTCCTGGGTCACTTTCATCTCAGTTTTCTTGTGAAATGTGGGCTTTTTTGATTATTTTGAGGATTACTATTTAAAATGAAGACATTTCCCTTATAATATAAAATTAATATAGAAACAGAAAAACATGAAATATTTAAGCATTTTAACATAACTTTACATGTATTATTTGACATTTTAAATTTTCCAGGGAAACAGAAAAAAACAAGTATGTATATGATAAATAAATATATATGCATAAAGAGTCCAGAATCTGGTGCCATTAATTTTATTTGATATTATGAATTATATGTCCTCTATACATGCCAGCACAAGAATAGGATGCCTATTTTACAAATATATTGCTATCATCCCAGATTTGTCATTTTCAATTGCCTATTCATCATTATGTATTTATTATTAAAAATGGTGTAAGGATACTTTCTACTTATTTCAGGGGCAGAAAATAATATGGGGAGAACCTAATTATCTACTCACGGTTTTTCCCATGATACTATAGTACAGTAACTGGCATGATGATACTGATATAACACACAGATATCATTCAAGCATCAAATGTTTATTAATTAAAAAGGGACTTTATCATAAACTCCAATATTGTATAATAATATGCAAATGTTTCTAATCAGCAAGATACCTGTGTCAGCTATGTTGACAAAAGTTGGAGCACTTGTGTTTTAACCCTAGGCTAACTTTATCAGCTAACCTTCATGCAACATGTCTGTATGTCATCTTCCAAATACCATTTGGGTAATGGTCATTGTTGAAAGCCAAGCCACAGTCAACACAATTGATAATAAAATCATGCTTCAAGTCCCCATCTGGATTTCATCTGTCCACATCACAGGAATCAGAGAAAACCACAACTAAGCTCAAAAGCAAGGAATGATGAACTTATGTGTTTCTTGTAGAACTGCAAAGTTATTAGTCATCAGTCATAGGTACAGGGAAAAGTGAAGAATTCAAGTCAATATCTATGAAAAATTCATTAAAATATTTACCACTTTGAAATCAGTTTTCCTTAATAATGTCATATACTTTATTATAGATAATATATAACCCATGGCTGTGATTAGCATTATTAAAGGTGTCTAATAATTGATAGACTCTTTAATTTTCTTAACAAAAAGACTGGTAGATATTATGTCTAAGAAGTTATTTTAGTTCTTCATGTTTTCCCAATCTGGGTTAATGTTTATCTGCAGAGAGCAGGAAGATGTCCAGGTGTTGCAGTTCCAGTCCAGTTGAGTAAATGTTACTAATATTATCCCAAGATTTAGTTTTATTTTTAAACAAAAATTGAATGTTGTTTTACTATAATTGTTTACACCAATCATGTGTCCTACTTACTTACTATTTAGTTGTACAAAGAAATTTCTCAATTTTCATAGTACATTACACCATTAAGAATGAATTTACTTAAATTATTATTTGTCTAGCTGGGGTTACAATTAAATGTTCCACTGAAGTATCTTTATATGTGTATATGTTTGGTGCATGCATAAATGAATATGTGTGCATATATGCATAATTTAACTCAAATACATAGTAATATAGAAAGGACTTAAGAAATTAACTCAGGTATTGTAGAGAAATTCATCTTATTCAATAAGATATCTAGCATAAGGATTGGAATAAATTATTTTAAACACACATATTAATTTCAGAATTACATATAGTTCTACTCTACTGGAAAGTGAAAATAAACATAATTGAATTCTTTTAAGAGTAGAATTTTTTATTGTGATGAATGTGTAATTTAGTGTAACACAATTTTTTCCACAAAATCTCAAGTTGTACTTTCAGTCTAAAAGTAAACATTTTAGCTGTTAAGGTAAATGTGTTTTAGATAACAAGTTATATTTCTACAAATGCACTTTTTTGTTACTCTTTTAAACCTGTGGATGTTATAGGCATCAATGTGACAATTTTTTCTGTGTGGGTGGCAGGACACTTGCTGAGGATACACATGAGGCTAAAGAAAGTTATACAATATAAATTTACTTAACCTGCATGTAATTATAAGAATAGATATCATATTGTATAAATGTCAACTTTCATAATAAATTGACAAATATATACCACTGTATAATTATACTACTGTATAATTATATTAATGGATTTTCTCTCTGTGAATGTCTATTCTTGCTGTCAAATATAGTAGAATAAAAGAGTACCCAAGAAAGAAATTGAGAGCATTTCTTTCTCATGGAAACATCCATACATCCATAATTAATATCTCTATGCTTTTTTATCTGTTAATCTGAAGTTTGAGTTATTTGATGAAAAAATATATTTATAGGTCATGAAAATAATGCTTAATGAAAATGCTGTAAAAATACATCGGACACATTTTGTCTTTGTCTCTTTATAATGAGCTTATACTCTATATTGAGATATCTATTAAAAATAGAGAAAAGAGAAAAAATTGCTTTTGTTTCTCAATGATATGCTTTAAAAGTGATCATTTGCTTAGATCTTAAATGACACATTTTAAAATAACCGCTTGCTTAGGTCGTAGGTATTCTCAGTGAAGTAATTTCTTACTTGACTTCAGTCAAAATACCAGATCATATATACTGATGGGATTCAACTCTAGAATCTTACAAGAGGCACTTATTTTTTGCTCACTATCCCTTATTAAAAGAGCTGTATAAACTAATAATTGTTGAACATTAATTAGTAACTTCGGTTTAGACTTCCCATATATTGAAATCTTCCTACAATCAGCACCAGAATTTCCAGTCCCCTGAGTAATTTTTGTAATTTTTTAAAATCACATTGCACAATGTGCTTGGTCCAAGTCTTCATGGCCGTCATATACCAGTGTAGTGGTATTTTGTTGGGTCAATGTTTATCACAACAGTTTTTCTTCCCTGGTATGTGCTGTACTCCAACAGACACAAGAATCACATTGATGGATTTAAAGTAGTAGTACTATGACCTATATGATTATACTGAAGAAATAAAGCTCAATCTATAAAAAGAAAAAAATCTTAATGCCTAACATATGCCATTCTCTAAACCTCCAGCTGAAGGCATCTTTAGAATGCAATAGCAACTTATGTGGTTGTAGGTAGTAATATGTGCAGTGCAATGTTATATGTTTCTACATAAATACTTAAACAAACAAACAAGCCAAGGGAAAAGATTAAAGCTGCAACTGTTGAGAGATGATTGGAGTAGGTATGACCTTTCTTGTTTTTTTTCCATGATTTTCAGAAATACACCTCTATATAGAGGTAAAATTTTTAAGATACAAATATCAAACTATGAATAATTTTGGGGATCTTACATTCTGTGTCACAGTAAAGATTTCCTCTCATTATCCTGTTTTTACCTCTTGACATGAGGATTCTCCAGGGACCCTGTCCCCAGAGTCAAGGAGTAGATATGAAGCACACAACATTTCCCCCGTTTCAGGATATGTCTGTTCCTTAAAGGGGTCTCTATGCTTGCTGTGAAATTTAAGGACAGTGGTAAAAGCATCACTAGTTGCTTCCTTTATTAAATTGCATTTTGAAGATCATTCACGGCCTATAAAGACATTGGAAAATATATAAGAAAAGTTTAATTTTGAACAGAAATTGTGCGTGCAGTTTAGTAATAATAGCAGGAGATCCACCAATAAAAAATGTGCTCCAGGAAAATTTTTCTTTTGGTGAGTTGTTTCAATGTGGAGCATCTTATCATTCTTTTACTAGATATATTAAAATCCTGGGCATTTTAGGGAATAAAACCTTTTGTGAGTTATGTGGAGCTCAATGGCTGGTGTGCATTTGAGATGATAGAGTTTATTTTCCTTTTTTCTAGGACTATGGGACTGAATTCCAAATGTTGTCCTTGAATGCTCTTAGGTGCACTTGTGGTTTTAGATGAAATGTTAAATATAAATTTATCCACATGGAAAGTAATTAATTAAGGAAAATAAACATATGCATACATACATATATAAAATTGCAAACTATGACATACATATTATAAATAGTGTAATGCAAGGAAAATAGAGCAGGAGACAAACAATTACAATTGGTTGACCAGGAAAGTTTGCTTAGAAGATCTGTGTTACGTAGTTGTCCTTGAAATGTGACATGGTGTAACACATTAGAGGAGAACAGCTGCCATTTCAATGGATTAGAAAAAGTAAACGATTGCTTAATAGGATTCAGTTTAAAAGTATGGTTATAAATATATATATAAATAGAGTATTGTATTTAGCGACAAAAATGTACCTATTACTTGGTGATATTATAAAAATCCCAATAGAAAAAAATTTTGTTTTGATGTATTTTATGCTACAATGCTGTTAAAAATACTTAAATTATGGTTCTCAAAGCTAAAGATATGTTTGATTTTATCATACACCAGGAGAGACCCTTGTATCTAGGTAAAAATTGGTGATGGTAGGAGGAAAAATGAAGTTTTGCAATTTCTTCCACATATTTCCTTACTTACTTTCCAGGAGCCATAAACAGAGACTATATAATTTTACAAGAAAGTGTGAAAATGATGCATTATTGTGAAATCAATGGCATTTGAATTTTGAAATTGAAGGTTAAATTTAAAATTAAAAGGAGTCAAGTATATAAACACCTGGTTTATTTATTTTTCTTTTTCAATGTTGTAAATATTTATGCATTTAATTCACTCACTCTCAGTAATCTTGCCAGAAGTTTAACCCCAAACAATACCATGCCAAAGCCAAAAGCCAGGAGTTTTTCTGGGTCTCCCATGGGAAACAGGAGCCCAAGCACTTGGACCGTTCTCTGCT